GGGCGCGTCCGGGTTGCGCCCGGTCTCCACGGTTACCTGTGCCTTGAGGTGATTTGAAGGGCAGAGGCTGAGAGGTTCGCAGCCCGGCCGCGGCGCTGCCCAGGAGTTCCCCGGCCCAGTCCAGATCGCAGGCCGTGCTCGGCAGCCCGCGCATCCTGCACGCGAAGAGCTGTCGCAGCTGGAAGGCCAGCCTGGGTGGACCCGGTTCAAGCCCCTGTGCCCGGGCGGGCAAGATGGCCACGCCCCCAGCAGATACGGCGCCTTTGGGACTCCGTCCGGGACAGAGGTACCCGAGCAGTCCGCCCACGTGCCCTGGAGTAAGACCCCCGGGAGGTTCCTTGGGAGCGGAGGGTCTCGGGTCGGGCCTGACTTGGGTGACCTCCCCCTCGCCCCCCCGCAGTTTCAACGTCGCGAAACCCGGGAGAATGAGGTCCAGTCTTTAACAGTCTCCTGAGGTTACGTCTGTCATTCGAAGGGCCCGAAGTAATAACAGCTTCCATTTATGTACGCCTTTACTGGTCGCTATGTTTTATTTACACTCATTATCTCATATGGTCCTCATAATAACCCAGTGAGGCTTTATTGTCCTCATTTATAGGACATTTATAGGAAACTGAGGCATAAGGAATGAGAATGCCTAAGGTTTACAGGATACAATTGGAACTCCCGATTCCTAGTGGATGTTCTTTTCTCTGTATATCTGCCTCACATACATAATTGTGGAGGTGTATTATAGGCCACATCTTTTCATCCACAGTACAGTAAACGTGTTATTCATTCGTTCACTCATCACATATGTATGAGAGGTGAAACTACCCCCAGTGTTGGAATCTTGAACAAATGTAAAGATATTTGCTAATGTTTTGGGGAGGTATTGGTACCTGTGTCATATAAAACTGTTTCCAGGCCGGGCTCGGTGGCACAGTCTGTAATTCCAGCACTTTGGGAGACTGAGGCAAGTGGATTGCCTGAGCCCGCGGGTTCGAGACCCATCAGGGCAACTTGGCGAGACCTCGTCTCTACAATAAATCAAAAATTAGCCGGGAGCAGTAGCGCACGCCTGTAGTTCTGGCTACTTGGAAGGCTTAGGCGGAAGGATTGCCGGATCCCAGCAAGTCGAGGCTATGGTGGCCGGGAGCATGCCACTGCACTCCAGCCTGGGCGACAGAGTGAGATTTCAACTAAAAACAAAAACAAAAATAACCTGCTTCCAGCTGGGCGCGGGGACTCACGCCTGTAATCCCAGCACTTTGGGAGCCGGGGACAAGAGGACTGCCTGAGCCCAGGGGTTCAAGACCAGCCTGAGCAACTTGGCGAGACCTCGTCTCTACAATATGTCAAAAAATTAACCGGGTGTGGTGGCACACATCTGTAGTTCCAGTTACTTGGAAAACTGAGGTGGAAGTATCTCCTGAGCCCAGCAGGTCAAGGCTATGGTGGCCATGAGCATGCCACTGCACTCCAGCATGTGCGACAGAGTAAGACTCCAACTCCAAAAAAAAAAAAACTTCCTCATTTTCAGTAGAGATGGAGATAAATGCTTCCCCTTTTTCCTCTAATAATTGTCTTTTCTGTCAGGAGCAAGTGGGATTGAAATCCTGTTTATGAGCATCCAAGGGATGAGGGGCATTAGGCAGCTGGTTTCTTATTTTTCCTGTTGTTCTGCCTCCTTAGGACCAGCTTTCTTCACGGACTCTACCACTCCCACCCCTTTGGCCCCACTCCACGACAACCACCTCCCCATCTCCTCTTCTCTGGTCTCCCCCACGCCCACGCCCTCCCCCCCAGCATCTTCCCCAGGCTCCCCCACTACCTCTTCCTGAGGTCCGGGCCCTCAGCTCACCATGGGTGGTCCTCCCTTCAGGAAAGGGGGAGGAGGGACTAGGACCTGAATTGCACAGCGGCTGCCTAGATGGGCTTAGGAGCCTTTTTGAGGGAGCTCCCTGCCCCTATCCTGGGGCTTTGATGCCTTTCCAAGCCCCTGGAACTGCCCACCCTTCCCCTACCACGCCATCAGGAGATCCTAGTATGGAGGAACACCTAGCTGTTATGTATGAGAGACTGAGACAAGAGGTAAGTCAGTTCAAAAGTGACCTTCATCTATAGTGGGAAGGGATGTGGGTAATCCTTGGAAACAGGTAAGCTGGATTCTTTTTTAGAACCATGAGGCAGGCATATGCATGTTTTATAAACATTTTCCTGAGAAAAGGATGCTCCTCAGTTTGGGTTAAGGAAGGTTAAATATGGGTTTGTATAACCCTTCACTCAGCAGGGATGTAAAGAAGCCCTAAAAATAGAAAACAGAAATAGGATCATTTCTTTTCCACTGGGTTGATGCCATCTTCTTCTACCTAGCTTCCCAACCTCTTCCTTCACTCCCATGACTACACTCTCTATTCCTTGGATGTGGAATTCATCAACGAGATCCTGAACATGCGTACCAAGTGAGAATTGGGGCCGGGTAGGGCCCTGGGGAGGAAAAGGACCCAATGCTATACACTTGACCCTTTTCAGTTCCTAGAGAAGATCCTAGACTGCTTCTCACAACTGTTCCCCATTCCTTTGGACAAAAGCCAGTTTAGTTTTCTGATTCTGCCATCATGAGGTATCTTTACCACCCCTTCTTCACAGGGGCCGGACATGGTACATTCTGTCACTGACCCTCTGCCGTTTCCTGGCCTGGAACTATTTTGCACAACTTCGTTTGGAGGTTTTACAGCTGACCCGCCACCCAGAGAACTGGACCCTGCAAGCCCGTTGGCGGCTTGTAGGGCTGCCCATTCACCTGCTATTTCTGCGTTTCTACAAGAGAGACAAAGATGAGCTTTACCGGTAAGAGAGAACTGAGAAAGGACACAATCTATAATCTTTCCCTCATCTTACCCTTTTAGAAATATGATCTTGCCTCAGCCTCCCAAAGTGTCGGGATTACAGGTGTGAGCCACTCACTGTACCTGGCAGGGACTATTAATTTAAATAAATGTTTGCATTAAGCTTTAGGACCAGTCATCTCCCTCAGTAAGCCTCTCTCTATTCCCCAGGACCTATGATGCCTACTCCACCTTCTACCTGAATTCCAGTGGCCTCATTTGTCGCCATCGCCTAGACAAAGTGAGTCCTAGGTAGGGCTGGATGGGTGATGGGTAGAACATCTGTGTATTCCCCCCAACTGGCACTAATCTTTCTCGTTGCAGCTGATGCCTTCACACTCACCTCCAACTCCTGTGAAGAAGCTGCTAGTGGGAGCCCTGGTGGCCCTGGGGCTGTCAGAGCCAGAACCTGACTTACAGCTGTGTTCTAAGGCCTGATCCTTGGCCTTGGAGTGGAAGCAGTAATGAAAACTTTGCTACGCACAAGAGAAGGAAGTAGAGGTGGCCAAGAATCTCAGGAGCCAGTTACCTCCCCTCCTCTCTCTCCTTCCTTTCCATCTCATGCTGTGTAAAGCTGCTGTGTAATTTAACTTGTAAATAATAAAGTTTAAGTAACTATATGAGGTAGAATTTCATGTCATTTTATCTGGATCCCAAAAAAGTTCCCACTAGCTTTATTCCAAAAATAATTTTATTTAATAGATATTAAATAATGAAGGAAAAGGAGCTGGTGTCCGGTTCTGTTTAATGTCCCCTTCTTTTACCCTAGCTCTTCTCGTGTCTTGCCTATTTTTTTGGGCATTTTCTTAGCATGGGGATCTTCCAGCTCCTTGGCCTTATAATAGTGGGGAGCCACTTCCAGAAGCCAACTGCTCTCGATCTCCAAAACCTAGAAGGAGAAGGAAAAGATCAGTAGGCCAACCTAGATTCTTTTTTTTTTTTTTTGAGTTGGAATCTCGCTCTGTTACCCAGGCTGGAGTACAGTGGCACGCTCATGGCCAGGGCAGCCTTGACCTGCTGGGCTCGGGTGATCCTTCCACCTCAGCCTTCCAAATAGCTGGAACTACAGGCATGCACTGCAATGCCCAGCTAATTTTTTTCTTATTTATTACAGAGATGAGGTCTCACCAAGTTGCCCAGGATGGTCTTGAGCCTGTGGGCTACAGAAGTTCTCTCACCTCAGCCTCCCAAAGTGCTAAGATTACAGGTATGAGCCACTGCACCTGGCCCCAACCTAGATTCTTATGTGTGGTGTCAAAGGTTTTCTTTCCCTTTTGACTGCAGGCTAGGAAAAAAGGTGCCAAAGGACAGACATACTGCTACATGTTATTCAAGATACCAAGTAAGCTATCCCTGAAAAAAGTCCAGAATGAAAAGACTATAAAGAACCCTCTATGAGGACAGGAACTCCATCTGCTTTGTTCACCATTATAGCACTAGCACCTAAAACTGAGATAGTAGGCATTCAAAAATTTATTGAATGAATGTACAGTTCTTAGATCTTGGAAGATGCTGAAATACTGTTAGAAAGGATTTCTTTTATTTTACCTTTTCAATGTATGTTCCTTTTTCTGCACCAGTCCTGGCAACTTATACCTGGGTTTGTAGCTTGCCAGGACACCATCTCCCTACATAATCTCCACATGCCTCAGCAAGGGATGGACTCCTCACCTGTCTCATGAACTCCTTGGTGGTCAAGACAAGTTCATGGTAGAGCAGCCAGCGTGGCTGTTGCTCAAAGAGAGAGGAGTTGGGATGAATGAACACCGTCTGCTGCTGCTTCACTGTGCGGTAGCCACTACGAGTCAACCGTGCTGTGTGGTAAAAGTAACCGGCAGTGATGGCCTAAGAACAGGCAGGAAAGAAAGTCAGTGGGAAAAGCAGACATCTGGGGACCATCAGCACTCCCTACTTTTGTTCAGGTTTTTGGAGAGCTAGAGAGGTAAGGAATGCATGAAGAACCCACCGACGTTCAATGGTCTGGGGAAGAAAGAGCCCTAGGAGAACATATCTTCTTTTTTTTTTTTTTGAGTTGGAGTCTCACTCTGTCGCCCAGACTGGAGTGCAGTGGCCGCTCCCGGCCACCACAGCCTCGACCTGCTGGGCTCCGGCGATCCTTCTGCCTCAGCCTTCCAAGTAGCCAGAATTACAGGCATGCGCTACCACGCCCGGCTGATTTTTTGATTTATTGTAGAGATGAGGTCTCGCTGCCCAGGCGGGTCTCAAACCCGTGGGCTCAGGCAATCCACTCACCTCAGCCTCCCAAAGGCGTGGATTACAGGCTGAGCCACCGAGCCTGGCTAGGAGAACATATCTTACACAAGGGGCTTCCCTCGTGTGTTCTCAGGTTGGAAGAACTGCTGCATGCCCCCAGAGAAGCCTGTTCCTTGGGAGGTCCTGGGTGGACAGCAGGAGACTGAAGAAATGCTGACCTTGCGTACACGAATATAGTCCCCCTGACAAGAGCTGAGACCAACTTCGACGCGTTCCAAAAGTCCCTCCAGCTGTTCCCGCACATCCCGGGCTCGGCGCATGGATCGAAACTGTACAAAGTTCTCATAGCACCACTGGGAAGAGTAACTGCTCTCAGCCCACTAGGAAGACCGTTAAAAAGAAGGGGTGTTTAAGTATACAGCTGGGCTAGTCTCCCAAGTCTCTCATTCCCACTCACCCAAACCCAGTGACCTGTGTGTAAACATTTAGCAGAACCAGGTGGTCGCCACCAGGGAGGAAGAAGTTGACGCGTGCATTGTCAGCATGGACAACCTTGTCCTTGGGTCGGTAGAAAATGGAGTTGTTAACAGACAGCATGGCAGCCACTGTCAGGATCTCCTCTGAACAGCTGTACCTGAGGCAGGAAGGGAAAAGTATGAAAGTTCAAAGCAGGACACGTAAGAACACAAGGTGCGGGGTGGGGGGTGGAGGGGTGCAAGAGGCAGTGATCACTTTGTGAAAGATGTTTCCTCATGTGGGGAAGGTTGGTTGACACTGGCCACAGATTAGACCACAGATAGATTCTGGTGGCAACAGCTTGGGGGTCTAGGAGGCAGGGGCCACAGATGAAACACAGTTCCGGAGGAGGGACCATCCACAAAGACAGGGGCAGAAAGCAGAGAGCTGAGAGTTCTGTGGTAGGAAGGTGTGCACTATGTGCATCAGAAAAGATCTCTTGACCTCTATAGCAAAAGAATGGCAGTTAAAGGTGGTCCCTCCAAAGCTACATCTAAATGTTCCAGTTTGAAACCTTAGGAATGAGTAAGTTCCGAAAGCAGTCTTTGTTCAGCAACCCTCCCAGGTGAAAATTTTCCACTTTCTTTTATAGCCCAGAATGTTCTCTGTCAATTGTGGCCATATAATACAATCAAAGACAGGATCAAGTGTCTTACCCTTGTAAGCCTCAAAAGGGTGCAATAAAAGTTGCCTAATAACTTATTATTTGTTAAAGAGTAACACAATGGAGAGGAAAAGAGAAAGTGACAAAGGTAGTCCAGAGACACAGGAGGCATGGCCAGTTTGTGTGCTAGGGTCCCAGGAGTGAGAGGGCTTACTTCTCAGAGGCCAAGATCATTTTAGACAGCATGGGGTCCACTGGCAGCTCTGCCATCTTTCGACCAGACTAAGGAGAGGAGAGAGAGTGTTATGGCCAGCCCTCCCTCCCTCAGGTTTCCCTCTACCACTACAGGGGTCCCTGGAGCCACCCTGATCCATCATCCTGCCCCAGCCCAGAATGTTCCTCCACCTCACCGTGGTGAGTTCCCCAAGGTGGTTGAGGGCTCCCAGAGCATACAGCTGTTCTAAAGCCAACAGTAGGGTCTCATATGGTGGAGGGTCCAGGAAATCAAAGTGCATTAGGTCATGGATACCTAGAGAGAGGTTGAGGGATATAACACTGTCCTTTGCAAGGACAGTGATTCCAACCCACCTCCCTGCTTTCTCAGGAGGACTTGGGTAGCCTAATCACCTAAGCTCTTGAGCAGCAACACGACATTGCCCAAGCTGGTCCTCTGGATCTCAGGCACCGTGGTTTCCTCAAGCTCATGCTGATAGGCCCAGGCAGTATACAGGCGGAAGCATTTCCCTGCAGCCACCCGACCCGCCCTGCCAGCTCGCTGATTAGCTGAGGCCTGGAAAGAAAAGCAGGCTGGCTGACAATTTGGTCAGGAAAAAGAGAAAGGGTAATATTTATACAAGAAACCTGGGAAGGCCAGGGGCAGTGGTTCATGCCTAAATCCCAGCACTTTGGGTGGCAGAGTCTGCCTGAGCCAGCGGGTTCCAGACTAGTCTGGACAACTTGGCGAGACCTCACCTCTACAATAAACCAAAAAATTAGCTGGGTATCATGGCGCATGCTGTAGTTCCAGCTACTTGGAAGACTGAGGTTGAAGGATTCGCTTGGGTTCGCTTGAGCCCAGCAGGTCGAGGCTGCGGTGGCCAGGAGTGTGCCACTGCCCTCCCGCCTGGGTGACAGAGTGAGACTCCAACTCAAAAAAAAGAGAGAAAGAAACCTGGGAAGATGCAAACTGCTTATTCCCCATCCCTAGGAAGCTCCCATCCTGCCTCTGATTCTGAGTTGGACCTTCCCTGTGGGACAATTCCATCTTCCCCTGCCCCCATGGAGCCCCAGACTGACCTTGCTGCAGGGTGTGACAGTGAGTGATTCCATGCCTGTGCGGGGGTTATAGCTCTTTTGCTTACAGAACCCTGGATCCAGCACATAAATGATGCCCTCGATGGTGAGCGATGTCTCAGCAATATTTGTTGCCACAACCACCTGAATGAAAGGACATGGGGTCACCCAGAGAATCTGCCCAACTAGTTACCCAGTAAAAGTAATCTTTGAAAGTTAGGAGTAGAGAAGCAGGTGAAAAACTTGCCCATGACAGGTCTTTCTGCCATAAATCTTCCTTCTTTCTTTTTCTCACTAATAAACTTTGAAAACTTTAAAAAGAAAAAAAAAATGGATGCAGTTGCAGTAAGGAATGGGAGCTGAGGGAATTAGTAACCAAAGTCAGCAGAGGAAGGCAAGGCCAAAAGATAGGTCAGAGAGGAGTGGGGGCTGGAAGTGACCAAGGGCACAATGAGGAAAGGATATGAAGATTTAGGGGTTTTTTTCAGAGAAAAGAGATAGGGGTGTCCAAGTTCCTGCCCCCATCTTCCCTGCTACCACTTTCACATTCACCTTCACATATCCCCTTCTGCAACAGCCTCCTAATGCTCTTACTCCTAGCTCCTGTCACAGGGCATCCAGAATGGTCTAGACCTTTTATGATGTAAACCTTAGTGACTTCTCATCCAACTCTAGACTCTTAAAAACCTGGACCACATAACCCAGCTGCCTCTCTGACCTCATCTCCTAGCACTCCACTCCTTCCCTCACTCCTCCTGCACACTGCTATTCCCTACCCATCTGGTACACTCCTTCCCTGACCCTTTGCATCAGCTGTTCCCTATGTCTAGCACATTCTTGTCCCAGATGTCAGCCTGGTCCCTCCCTCACCTGGTGTGGGTCTCTGCTCCACTTCCACCTTACTGGAGAGGTCTTTCCTACACCCCAAGGAAAGTACCTCTCCATTCTTCCTCACCCCCATCCCTCAGAGTCAGTTTCCATTTCCTTAAGCTGCCTT